AGGGGGAGAGACCAGGGCGCATGTGCGCCGGGCACGTGTTTTCACGCGGGCACGGCCCCCCAAAGGGCGGACCAAACCTGGGCGCGCCGGATGCCCTACGCGTGAAAGCATGTGCGCTGAGAGGGGGTGTCCCAACGTGCGCCTGGCGAGTGCGAGAACGCCAACATTTTTCAAACACCTGCGGAGCATCAACTATTTGTGCCTCTTGGGGCCCTCTTGGGAGGCCTTTTGGAGGCGTGAATGCACATGCGCGGATGGGGGAGACCCAGCATGCGCCTGGCGCGTGCCCGCGGGGCACGCGTTCCCAGACTGCAGACCATAGTGTTGTAGTGTCTTCCGTTACTCTGCCTCCTCTCAGTCTCGACTATCGAGCGGGAGTGTTGAAATTACAGCCGTGCAAATCGGAGGGCCTTTCGGAGCGAACTTCGTCGTTCGCAGTGGGGCTGGATCGACACAGCTACGCCGGAAGTTGCATCTCGTTCTTTAACTAGTTTTCTGATTGATTGAATGCGCCAATACAAACCTAGGCACACGATTTCGTTGAAGCTCCCAGCCTTGGCTGGACAAACCATCTTTGGCCTTAGAGCGAGACAAGGTTGCAGCTTCTGGCACGCCCGATGTCCCCTGGCGTCCTGGGCCTAGGTCCTTCGAGGCCACCCACCCTGCAAAAACCTCGCCGGCACCCCCCACCACGCCCCCCACCACGCCCCCACCGCGGCTGACACCGCCAGCCCCCTGGCGCCAGTAGATTTAGGTGGGCGGCTCTCGGTGGGCGGCTGTCGGTGGGCGCCCCCCCTCTCTTTTCTCTCTCTCTCTTGGTATCTCTCTATGTCAGTGTTTTCGGTGTGCGCTCCCTCTCTCTCTCTTTCTCTTTTGCTTGTTCTCTATCCTTCTCTCTCTCTCTCTCTCTTTCTATCTCTCTCTCTCTCTCTCTCTTGGTATCCCTCTATACGAGTATCACCATTTCGTGTTTCCCCGGTGCGCACTACATTATCCAATCGTTTGGTCTGATGCTTTCTCTCCGTGCTATGCACTCTCTCTCTCTCTCTCTCTCTCTATATATATATATAGAGAGAGAGAGAGAGAGATAATCCCCCTTTCTAACCCCCTGTCTCTCTCTCTCTCTCTCTCACTCTCTCTCTCTCTCTCTATATATATATACATATATGTATATATATACCTTGGTACTTCTTTATATCTGTCCCACTCTTATACCTGTCTCACTCTCCCGGGTACCTCCGCAAGCCCGCCTGGGTCATCTGGGGCTCCTCGTGCGCCGTCCTGGGGCAACACTGAAGACCTCCTAAAGCCACTTTGAGCCGACGGATGCCCGAAATGGCGAAGGACCATCAATGAGTTCGCTTCTCAGGGCACTCTTACGAAACTGCGACCGGGCATGGTGCTTGCAAAACTTTCGGACCATCCACTGATTGGGTTCCAGCGTAATGTAGCTCTCGCCTTCAGCGCTGTGCACATTCGTCCTAGAAGTTTGCAGCCATTTCACGGATGGAAAGTGGGCGCAAACTGTGGCTCTCGCCTTAGAGCAGCGCTCACTCGTCCTAAACATGTGAAGAGTTTCACAGATGGAGGGCGGTTCCTTTTCAAAATGTGACTCTCGCCTTAGCGCCGCGTCGCCTGAACAGTTTACAGCATTTTGACGATTCTCGTGGCTGACCTCTCAGTAACGGTGTTCTGGCACGGTTCGGCAACAGAGATGGAGACGGACACAGCGGCAAACACAGGAAAATCGACAGAAACAGCGACAGAGAGAGAGAGAGAGAAAGAACCTTCTGTCACATGCCCCCACGACGCCAACGACGACGACGACGACGACGACGACGACGACGACGACGACGACGACGACGACGACGACGGCGACAACGACGACAACGACAACGACAACGACGACGACGGTGCGCCGAAGAGGGTGGATTTAGCGCATCATGGCCCGAGGCATGTGCGCGGGCGGGCGAGGGGCACGCGGCCGTGAGGTGCGGGTAGAGGCCTCCCGGATGGGGACCGAGCAGATGGGGTCGAAGGATCGCGCCGCATCGCCCATGCATCGCCAATGCATCGGCGACGCATCAGCGGCGTCGGCGGTACGTCGGCGACGTCGGCGTGGGGAAACAAGGGCTCCACATCGACCCGCATCGTCGGTGCATGGGCGATGCGACACGATCCTCCGACCCCATCTACTCCGACCCCATCTATAGGGCCTGGAGGCACGTGGGAGTGAGGTGTGGGAGAGTTCCTCCTCCTCCTCCTCGTCCTCTCCTCCTCTTCCTCCTCCTCCTCCCCCTCCTCCTCGTCCTCGTCCGCGTCCTCGTCCTCCTCCTCCCCCTCCTTCTCCTCCTCTTCCTCCTCCTCCCATCCTTCTGCTCCTCCTCCTCCTCCTCCCCTTCCTCCCCTACCTCCTCCTCCTCCTCCTCCTCCTCCGCTCCTCCTCCTCCTCCTCCTCACTCCCTCTCCTCCTCCTCCTCCTCCTCCTCTCCTCACTCTCCTCCCCTCTCCTCCCCTCCTCCTCCTCCTCATCCTCCCCCCCTACTCCCCCTCCCCCTCCCCTCTCCCCCCCTCCTCCCCTCCTCCTCCTCCTCCACCCCCTCCTCCTCCTGCTCCTGCCTTCCTTCAAACTCCACTCCTCATACCTCCTCCTCCCTCTCCTCCTCCTCCTCCTCCTCCTTCCTCCTCCTCTCTCCTCCTCCTCATCCTCCTCCTCCTCCCTGCCTCCTCCTCCTCCTCCTCTCCCTCCTCCTCCTCCGCCCACCCCCCCCTCCTCCTCCCTCCCTCCCTCCCCTCCTCCTCCTCCTCCTCCTCCTCCTCCTCCCTCCTCCTCCTCCTCCTCCTCCTCTTCCTCCTCCTGCTTCTCCTCCTCCTCTCCTCCCTCCTTCCTCCTCCTCCTCCTCCTCCTCCTCCTCCCCCCCTCCTCCTCCTCCTGCCCCTCCCCCGTCCTCCTCCTCTTCCCGCTTCCTCCTCCTCCTCCTCCTCCTCCTCCTCCTCCTCCTTATCCATTCTTTTTCCTTATAAATAAAGATACTGGAGAAAAACCTGTCAAAGTCTATTTAAGGCTATAGGGCTATTTGGCTACTGGGCTATGGGGCGATGGGGCTATGGGACTGTAGGGCTATGGAACTATAGGGCTATAGAGCCATAGGGCTATAGGGCCATAGGGCTGTAGGGCTACAGGGCTACAGGGCTGTAGGGCCGTAGGGATATAGGTCTGTAGGGTTATAGGGCTATTGGGCTATGGGGCTCTGGGGCTATGAGACTGTAGGGCTATAGGGCCATATGGGGCTATAGGGCTGTAGGACCATGGGGCTATAGGGCTACCTGGATATAGGGCTATGGGGCTATAGGGCTATAGGGCTATAGGCATTTGGAGCTATAGGGCTACAGGGCTATAGTGCTATAGGTATATAGGGGCTATAGGGGCTATAGGGCTGTAGGGCTATAGGGCTATAGGGCTATAAGGCTGTAAGGCTATAGGGCTACAGGGCTATAGGGATATAGGCTATAGGGTTACAGGGGTATTGAGCTATTGGGCTATAGGGCTACAGGGCCATAGGGCTATGTGGCTATAGTGCTATTGGGCTATGGGGCTATAGAGCTGTAGGGTAGGGCGATAGGGCTACAGGGCTATAGAGTTATAGCGCTATGGGGCTATGGGGCTATAGGGTTATAGGGTTATAGGGCTATAGAACTATTGGGCTACTGGGTTATAGGGCTATTGGGCTATGAGTCTATTGGGCTATATAAGGCTATAGGGCTATAGGGCTATAGAGCTATAGGGCTATGGGGCTATAGGGCTTATAGGCCCCCGGGCACCCGGGCACATGGGCACCTGGGCACCCGGGCTCCCGGGCACCTGGGCACCCGGGCGGGCCGCGGAAATCGGTGGTAAACCTCACCTTACCATATGAATCCGCTAGGACCCCTACAGGGGCAAGCTCTGATTGGGGAACTTCTTCCTGTCGCACCCCGAGGCAAGTTTTTAGGGCGGGCAGGGCGTTTCGCCTGAGACTTCCTCCACACTTATGACTCTGAAGATTTAGCAACAGGTTCACAGACGGAGGGCGGGTGGCTTTCAAAATGTGGCTCTCGCCTTAGCGCCACGCACATTCGTTTAAACAAAAAAATGCAAGCGCTTCACGAATTGAGGACGGGTGGTTTTCAAAGTGTGGCTCTCGCCTTGGCGCCGAGCGCGTTTTGAAAAATTGCAAGAGCTTCACAGATAGAGGACGGTTCCTTTTCAAATTTGGTTCTCGCCTCAGCACCGCGACCATTCGTCTGTAAAATTGCAAGGGTTTCACGGATTCCCATGATCGGCGCACCAGAAATGGCATTGTGGAAGGATTCTGGATTATGAGGGTGAAACAGTTACGTTGATTCGAAATGTTGAAGTCCCAAGGAAGGCGTTCTGGCACAGTTCAAGATCGCCAAGACGCAACAGTCAGGTAGATCCGTGGCGGTGAAATCCCGAGAACGATGTTTTGCCATGCTTCAGGGTCTTCAAGCGGTCGTCTTCCAACGGGGCAGCTCCGTGGAAATGAACCGTCGCAGTGGCCTGTGAAGAGGGAGCTTGGAGGGAGGATTTATTGGCTTGTTCCAGCATCGTTGGTGACTCTTGGGTTTTCGCTGGTCCCCATCCTCCTCCTCCTCCTCCTCCTCCTCCTCCTCCTCCTCCTCCTCCTCTCCTCCTACTCTTCCTCCTCCTCCATCCTCCACCCCCTCATCCTGCCTCGCACCTCCTCCTGCTCCTGCTCTCCTCCTCCTACTCCTACCTCCTCCTCCTCCTCCTCATCCTCCTCCTCCTCCTCCTCCTCCTCCTCCTCCACCCCTCCTCTGCCCTGCTCCTCCTCCTGCTCCTGCTCCTCCTCCTCCTCCTCCACCTCCTCCTCCTCCTCCTCCTCCTCCTCCTCCTCCGGTGTGGGAGGCCCCCGAGGGGGGCGGCAGGCCGTGGCCGCGACGAAGCGGCGGCAGCGAGCGGCCCCCGAGCGCGTCGCCGCGTTGCCGCCGTCCTCCTTGATGAGCGCCTGGCGCCGCTCCGGCCCGGGGGGCGACGACGGAGGCGAGAACAGCCCCAGGGGCGGGCCCTGCACACGCCTTCGCCGGGGGGGAGCCTCGCCGAAGGCGTGGGCCGTCGGCGCCCCTGGCTGCATGCATCGCTCTCCCCTGGGCTATGCGCCCCGCGTCGTCGCCCCCGATCTGGCGCCGCCGCCGCCGCCGCTCTCCGAGAGGGGCTCTCGGGGGCGCCCCTCGAGGGGCCCTCGCCGCCACGGCCCGGGCGGCAGCTCGAGGGCCAGCCGGGGCGGCCCCCCGCTGAGGGGTCTGTGGGCTGGGGCGCCTGCCTCCCCCCATCCCTCGCTGTTCCCTTTTCCCGGTGTCCCGTGCCCCGCTCCGTCCCCCCGTTCCCACTCCCGCCCCCCTTTCTTATGCTCCCGATTCTGCTCCTCTCCCGGGGGGCAGGGGGGGTTCACAGCTCATGGAGGGGTTGTAGAAAGGCCCAGGAAGGGGATGAAGAAAGAGGAAGAGGCGCCATTCTGAGGAGAGGGAGAAGGAGGACTAGGATGAGGAAGGGGAAGAGGAGGAGGGGGAGGAGGTGGAGGAGGAGAAGGAGGAGGAGTTGTTTTGCCCCCAACATGCCTTTTCAGGAGCTCTGCCATCTTCTACCAGGAGGACGAGGAGGAGTCTGACGAGCAGGAGGAGGAGCAGGAGAAGAACCAAAGAACGAATGATCGGGAGGGGGTGGAGGATGGGGTGGAGGAGGAGGAGGGGAGGAGGAGGAGGAGGAGGAGGAGGGGAGGCTCGGGGCATGGACTCCCCCCTGGCGCCAGCAGGATGTGCGCGGGGTCCACCGCCGCGTTGTTGGAATTGAGGCGCTTCGCCTGCCGAGGCGCGCCCGGGCGCCCCACGGGGGGAGGGGGGGGGGCTCTGGAGGGCGGGCCTCCTCCTCCTCCTCCTCCTCCTCCTCCTCCTCCTCCTCCTCCACCCCATCCTCCTCCTCTCCTCCTCCTCCTCCTCCTCCTCATCATCATCATCATCATCATCATCATCATCATCATCATCATCCATCATCATCATCAATCATCAATCGTCATCCATCATCATCATCATCATCATCATCATCATCATCATCTCATCATCATCATAATCATCATCATCATCAGCATCATCACATCATCATCATCATCATCATCCAGCAGCGGCAGCAGCAGCAGAAGCGCTCTGGAGGGCGGCCTCCTCTTCTTTATCCTCCTCCTCCTCTCTTTCTCCTTCCTCAGTCTCCTCCTCCCCTCCTCCTCCTCCTCCCCCTCTCCTCCTCCTCCTCCTCCTCCTCCTCCTCCTCCTCCCCTCCTCGCCATCATCATCATCAGCAGCGGCCAGCAGCAGCAGCAGAGCGCTCTGGAGGGCGGCCTCTCTATTTCTCCTCCTCCTCCTCCTCCCTCCTCCTCCTACTCCTCCTCCTCCTCCTCCTCCCCTCCTCCTCCTCCTCCTCCTCCTCTCTTCTCTCCTCCTCCTCCTCCTCCTCCTCCTCCTCCTCCTCCTCCTCCTCCTCCTCCTCCTCCTCCTCCTCCTCTTCCTCCTGCTCCTCAGCAGCAGCAGCAGCAACCATCATCGTCATCATCAGCATCATCAGCATCAGCATCAGCATCAGCATCAGCATCAGCATCAGCATCAGCATCAGCATCAGCATCAGCATCAGCATCATTATCAACATCGTCAGAATCATCAGCAGCATCAGAATCATCATCAGCATCATCAGCATCGTCGTCATCATCAGCAGCAGCAGCACTAATGGAATCATCATCATCACCATCATCATCAGCAGCAGCATCAGAAACAGCATCACCACAATCGACATCATAAGCGTTATCCTCATCCTCATCATCATCAGCAGAAGCAGCGCTCTGGAGGGCGGCCTCCTCCTCTTCCTTCTCATCCTCATCCTCCTCCGCCTCAGCAGCAGCAACCATCATCATCATCAGAATCATCAGCACCAGCAGCAGCATCAGCATCATCCTCATCATAATTATCAGCATCAGCATCATGATCATCATCAGCATCATCATCGCCATCATCGTAATAATAATCAGAATCAGCATCATCATCATCATCAGCAGCAGCATAATATCGTCATCATCATCAGAATCATAATCAGCATCATCATCAGAAGCAGCATCATCATCATCAGCAGCAGCATCATCAGCATCACCACCAGCATTGTCATCATCAGCAGCTCATCAGCATTGTCAGCAGCATCATCATTGTCAGCAGCATCATCAGCAGCAGCAACAGCAGCATCAGCACCGACATCAGCATCATCATCATCATCATCATCATCATCATCATCATCATCATCATCATCATCATCATCATCATCATCATCATCATCATCATCATCATCATCATCATTATCATCAGCAATATAATCATCATCAGCAGCAGCATCATCATCATCGTCATCATCAGCATCCTTACTACAGGTAGCAAAAGCATCACCATTATTATCATCACCATCATCATCAGCATCAGCATCCTCATCATCATCGTCATCATCCTCATCATCATCGTCATCATCAGAATCAGCATCCTCATCATCATCGTCATCATAAGCATCATCACCACCATCAGTGTCGTCATCATCATAAGCAGCAGCGGCAGCAGCAGCCGCAGCATCGTCATCCTCATAATCATCATCAGCAATAGAAACATCATCCTCATCCTCATCGTCATCATCATCATCATCACCAGCACCATCATCATCACCATCACCAGCATCATTATCACCGCCATCGATATCAGAACCGTTATCACCTCCCTTTGTGTGATCCTTCTCCTCCTCCTCCTCCTCCTCCTCCTCCTCCTCCTCCTCCTCCTCCTCCTCCTCCTCCTCCTCCTCTTCCTCCCCCGTCATCATCGTCAGCATCATTGTCACCTCCGTCATCATCACCACCATCCTCGTTGGCGTTCTCACTCGCCGACCCCCTGGTTCCTCCTCGGCGTGCGAGACTGCTGCCCCTCCCCGGGCCGCTCCCCCGAGAGCCGGGGGGGAATCAAGAGGGCCAGCGGCCCCACCTGCTGCGGCAGTGCTCCCAGGCAGCCCCCGACGGCCTCCACCGTGCCCCCGGCCGCTCCCCGGCGGCCCGAGGTGTCCTCCACGTCACCCCAGCTGGCCCCAGCAGCGTTGGGGGAACGAAGAGTGACACAAACGTAAAACTCGGAGGTCCGCGCGGATTTCTCGGATCGGCGCTGGACCTCCCCCTCCCTGGCGCGCGGAGCGCGCCAGGGGCGGCGCCGGGGGCGCCGCCAGGGGGTGTCCAGCGCGGACCCGAGAAATCCGCGCGGACCTGCGAGTTGTTATGTTTACGTCACTCTTCGTTCCCTGAATATGTCCCAGGAGGTCCTCCAGAGACCCAGAAAGGGCGGGAGCTGCCCCGAAGGGGGGAGCCCGAGGCGGCCCACAGCTCCCCCCTCGATCTCCTCTCTCCTGAAGATTATCCTGGAGACTGCCATCTGAAGTCCCCACACCGCCCTCGACTCCACTCTGGGCACTCCTCCCGCGGCTCCCCCCTTGCCGGATTCCTCTGGGCCGGTTCTCCCAAGCCGCGCCGCGGGGCCGCGCGGGCGGGGGGGCGTCCGCCTCCTCCACGCCGTCCGACAGGACCCGCTTGGCGGCGGGGGTGAAGGGGATCTCCACGGCGGTCATGCCACTGCCGCGCCCGACCTGGGTCGACGATGCCAGAACGACAGGGACAACGGCCGCGCCGAGCTCCCCCGAAAACCCCCCCGCGATCCGCCCGAGAGGCAAGAGCCCGACGGCGGGTCCGCACCATGAATAGCAACCGGGCCGAGCGGAGCAGACCAGACCCACCGGGAGACTGAGTGGATCCTGACACCTCCTGGAGACGTGCACGGCACCAGGGCCTCTGAGAGGGTCTGGGCCCTGGAACCCCACGGAGACGGTGGGTGGCTCGGGCCGGGTGCGCCACCCGGCCACGGAAGTCCCTTCATCCCGCGAAGCCGCGGAGCCGCGGAGCCGCGCAGCCGTGAGGCCGCGGAGCCGCAGAGTCGCGAGGCCGCGAGGCCGCGGAGCCGCGGAGCCGCGAAGCCGCGAAGCGCGCCAAAACTGCCGCGAAGCCGCGAGGCGCGGTGAAGTATCCCGGCGCCCCTCGCTGCCGTCTCCCGGGAGGGAGGCCGCGGAGCGCGCTCGCCGGGTCTGCGCGCCCGTCTGGGGGGCGGGCGGGGCCGCGGGCAGGCGCGCGCCAGTCCGCGGCAGGGCGCGGAGCCGCCCGGCTCGCGGCACCCGGGCCGCGGAGGACTGCGATGCGCCCGGCCCCCGAAGGAGAGGTACAGTGCCGTCTTTCATACATGCTCCGCGTGCGGACCATGTATCAAAAATGAAAGGGCTGATTCATAAAAACAAGGATGAGTTGATGCATCAATCTATTCATGAATGAACCATGCATTCAAAAATCCAATAGTATTAGAAATTATGTGTTTGAAAACTGCCCTGTACCTCGGATCCCGCCGTGACAACAGAACCCAAGAAACAAACAGACAAACAAACAAACAAACAAATGGCCAACAGAGAAACGTCAACAAACATGCACACACACACACACCACCACCACCACTACCCCCCACCACCACCACCAACAACAACAAGAATAACAGCGACAACAACAACGACGACAACAACAGCAACAACCACAGCAACAGATACAGCTACAGCAACAGCAACAGCAGCAGCAGGAACAACAACAACGACAAAAACAAAAGCACATAAACAAAAAGCAAACAACCAAACAAACAAACATACGTGTGTGTGGGTTGTGTGTTGTGTGTTATGTGTCGTGTCTTGTGCTTTGTGTGTTGTTTGTTGCACGTTGGGCGTTGGGCGTTGTGCATTGTGTGTTGTGTAGTGTGTGCTGTGTGTTGTATGTTGTGTTGCACGTTGTGCGTTGTGTGCTGTGTGCTGTGTGCTGTGAGTTGTGTGTTGTGTGTTGTGTGTGCTGCGTGTTGTGTGTAGTGTGTCGTGTGTTGCGTGGTGTGTTGTGTGGTGTGTTGTGTGCTGTGTGTTGAATGTTGTGTGCTGTGTTTTGAATGCTGTGTTTTGTGTTGTATTGTGTGCTCAGTGCTGCGTAATATGCAATGTGTGTTGTGTGTTGCGTGTTGTGTTGTGGGGTGTGTTGTGTGTTTTGTGTTGTGTGTTGAATGTTGAATGTCGTGTGTTGTGTGTTGCGTGTTGTCTGCTGTGTGGTGTGTGATATGTAATGTGTGTTGTGTGCTGTGTGTTGTGTGTTGTATGTTGTGTGTTGTGTGAGGCGTGTTGTGTATGTTGTGTTGTGTGTTGTGCTGTGAGTTGTGCTTTGTGTTGAGTGTTGTGTGCTGTGTGCTGTGCTGTGTGTTGTGTATTGTGTGGTGTGATGTGTGTTGTGAATTGTGTGTTGTGTGATGTGTGATGTGTGTTGTGCATGTTGTGTTGTGTGTTGAGTGTTGTGTACTGTGTGTTAGTGTGTTGTGCGTTGTGTGCTGTGTGTTGTGTGTTGCGTATTGTGTGTAGGGTGTTGTGTGGTGTGTGTTGTGTGTTGTGTGTGATGTGCTGTGTGCTGTGTGGTGTGTTGCGATGTGTTTGTTGTGTGTGTGCGTGTGTGCGTGTATGTGTGCGTACGTGCGTGTGTGTGTGTATATGTGTCTGTGTCTGTGTCTGTGTCTGTGACTGTGACTGTGTCTGTCTTTGTGTGTCTGTGTGTGCGTGTCTGTGTGTGTCTGTGTGTATCTGTGTGTGCGTGTGTATGCAGGTGTGTGTGTGTTGTGTGTTGTGTGCTGTGCATGGTGTGTGTAAGTCTGTTTGAGAGTCTGTGTGTCCGTGTCTGCGTCTGTGTCTGTGCCTGTGGCTGTGCCTGTGTCTGTGTCGGTATATGTGTCTATGTCTGTGTCTGTGTCTGTGTCTGTGACTGTATGTGTCTGTGTGTTGTGTGTTGTGTGGTGTTTGTGTTTGTGTGCCTGTGTCTGTGCGTATGTGTGTGAGTGTGTGTAGTCGCCAGTTGGTCGGAGTGGTGCGACCTTTGCGGTGATGCGCACGATCTTTTGTGCAAACAAAACAAACAAACAAAACCTAACAAAGACGCTTGACACTAACAAACGGACAGAAAACGATCCTTACGGTATTTTTGTTTTTGCTCGTTTGGGATACCTTGTGGATCGTGCCGAATCCTTTCCTCAACAAACAAGACCTAGGATGAACAAATCCTAGTCTGGGGAGTTAGTGAAGATTCCCACGGGCCCACCTTCTCAAAGAATCGAAAAGTCGAACGGGGATAATCTCAAGATCCTTCGCTCCGCATTCAGGTTACAGGAACAGGAACAGGAACAAGACGAATCTCCGAAAGCACGATGCCTGCAAGCGCCTGCCGCTGGTAGTTGCCTGACGCTACGTATCTAAAGGCAGGCTAATTGTGTGATGGGAGTGGCATGGGCAATTCCAGACACCATCCCGTCCTCCAAGAACATTCGCCACACAGGCCAATCGGAAGAAGTAGGTAGAACCGAGGAGGCCCCGCCGCCTTCTCCCGGAAGGCCCGCCCCGACCGCCCCCCCCCCCCCCCGTGCTCGCCGCCAAGAGAGGCTCGAGGAGCCGGATGTCCGAGGGGGGGGAGGAGGAGGAGGAGGAGGAGGAGGAGGAGGAGGAGGAGGAGGAGGAGGAGGAGGTGTAGCCACAGGGCGGCTGGAGAAGATTGGGCCTCGGCCCGTCCGGGCCACGAGCATCGACGTAAAAGGCCATCTTGAAGTAGGACGGCGCTCGGAGCAGACTGGCATCAGGGGATCGAAAAATAGGTACTTGAAGCGATCGGCCTCTGCAAGCGCAAGGGGTGGAGGTGCAAGACGCGGCGCACGGCCGAACACTTCCCCACCAGACGGACGGGGCAAGATGCTAACACAAGGAAAGGAGGGAGGGGGCGAGCTCGAGAATCGAGGAGAGGAAGAACCACTCAGTAACCCGGGCCCCACCCCAAAAAAATCCCCCAGCACCATCCTCCCGCAATCCCGCAAAATGACCCTAACACCCTGCTCCGCCAGCCCCCTCTTCCTTGTTCCCCACCCGGCCACCCCCAGAGATTCCCAGAAGTCTCCACTGGTCCTTGGATCTCCCCTTCGATCTTCTTCCTCCTCCTCCCCTCCCTCGGCGTCTCCCCCTCATCACCATCATCATCATCATCATCATCATCATCATCACCACCATCATCATCATCATCATCATCATCATCATCATCATCATCATCATCATCATCATCATCATCATCATCATCATCATCATCATCATCATATCATAATAATCATCACCACCACCACCACCACCGCCATCATCATCATCAGCAGCAGCATCATCGTCGTCATCATCAGCATCATCATCATCATCATCATCATCACCAACGTCATAATCAGCATCTTCTTCATCTTCATCCTCATCATCCTCATCAGCATCATCATCAGTACCATTATCATCATAGTCATATTCATCATCATCATCATCATCAGCAGCAGCAGCATCATCATCAGCAGCATCATCAGCAGTTTCATCATCAGCAGCTGCATCAGCATCAGCATCATCATCATCAGCATCATCATCATCGCGATTAGAACCATCATCATCATCAGCAGCATCAGCATAGTCATCATCATCGTCATAATCAGCATCGTCATCATCATCGTCGTCACCATCAGCATCATCATCACCATCAGCATCATCATCAGCCGCAGCATCCGCGTCAGCATCAGCATCAGAAGCATCATCATCGTCATCGTCATCAACATCGGCATGGTCAGCATCACATTATTATCATCCTCAGTATCAGCACCACCATCATCCGCCACACCACCACAACCACCAACAACAACAACAACAACAACAACAACAATTACTAGCACGTGGGGACACTCCGTTCTCACCAGTGCCAGGGTTTTCATACGACGCCCGCCAATACCCCCACTTTGTGGGGGGGCCGGTTCAAGCTCTACCACATTTCCAAACGACTCTTCGCCACCACCCACACCCAGCTTCCCGCCCTATGACGTTCGGACACTTCACTTCGTGGCCTGCGGACGACCGTGGCTACTACACTGGCGCATGGGTACAGTGACTTGTTGTGGTAACATTTTCTGGACGCTAGCTTAGTATACGACTTTCCCCCTGTTCCAACACTGGACACCTGTACTGGTTTTTGGTGGTAACGTGAAAAACCATTGGTTTTTTAGGATTCGGACAGCGCGCGCGGGTAGAAATTTTGAAAATTCGTACAGATGTTTTTCGAGGACCTACGGTGCGATTCGTACGATTTTATGTTGCGCGGTGCTAAAATTCCTAAGAAACCCAATGGTTTTTGAAGATTTCGGCGTGCGCGCGCGAAGAAAAAACGAATGTGTCCCGCATGGTATTATTTGACAGGGATGATGGCCCTGGCAGGTGCGCAACCGTTGTTGGAGAAGTTCGAAGCACGTGAAAAAGTTGCTCGCAAAAGCCCGTTTGACAGAAATGTTTAAAAAGTGTTGGGTTTCCTACAAATCCGCAAGAGCGCGCGGGATGAAATTTTGACACTTTTTTAAAAAAAAAACATTGTTTTTTTGATGTTTTTATGTTAAAATCGCTACGAACACTAAGGTTTTGGAAGGATTTCGTCTTGCGCGCGCGAATGTCCACTTTACCTTATTTTTTTGCAAGGGATTCTTGAAGTTTGGTTATGTTAGAACAAGAAATGTCCACTTTGCCTTATTTTTTGCAAGGGAAAACCGCCCGTAACAAAACAACCGGATCCGGACCAACCCGTTTTGCCAGAGACTTCCTCACGAAAATGATGAAAACATGGCTGCGGCCTAGGCGCGGCGAGGGGGCCGTGCACCAGGGGTCCCAACAATAATTATTCTTTAGAAGTAATAATGTTCAACAACAACATCAGCAACAATAAGTGCATCGACAGTTTCAGCATCGTCAGCGGCATCGTCACTGTCGTCAGTATTATTATCATCATCCTCATAAGTATCATCATCAGCATCAGCATCATCACCAATCGTCATCACCATCATCATCAGCAGCATAATCATTATCATCAGCATCATCATCATCATCATCATCATCATCATCGGCATCATCATCATTAGCATGCTCATCATCGCAATCACCATCATCACCCCAAAACATCTCCCACCTCCCCCTCTTTCACCCAGTCCTCCCTCCTTCTCCTAATAGTCTTTCCTCCGCTTCCTCCTCCTCCCATCTCCCCTCCTCTGCCCCATTCCCCTCCACAATTACACAGTATGAATACCACTCTCCTCCATCCCCTGATGGCGTGCGGAAGATAGCGGGCACCCCTCCGCGTACTGTTTTTCACACAGGATTTCCCGGAAGTGGGTTTTCGCTTGGCTGTTTTCCAAAATGATGCTCTCGCTGAGGCGCGGGCTTCATTTTCGGGCTTCCGCTCGTTCCGAATCGTGCTCCCGCTGCAGCGCTGGCCTCATTTCCGTGCTTCCGCTCGTTCCGAATCGTGCTCCCGCTGCAGCGCTGGCCTCATTTCCGCGCTTCCGCTCGTTCCGAATCGTGCTCCCGCTGCAGCGCTGGCGTCATTTCCCGTGCCATTCCACGGCATGCAATGCAATGCTAGGTTGCGTTCCGCTGCGCGATGTCATGCCTTCAGCTGCAGCTGTCATATCCAGTGCTTAAGTGCCACGTCATGCTGTGCCATGCCACGCTTTGATCTTCAACGCCATGCTATGCAATGTTATGTTCGGGGCCGCTGTGCGATGCCATGCTTTGCGTTACAAAGCTTTGTGATGCAATTCTTCACTACGCAACGCCACGCCATGCTGTGACATACTACGCTTTGCGGTGCTCTTCTACGCCATGCCATGCCGAGCTCTACAATGCATCGCGTACCCTTTCGGGATCATTGCCCTGCTCGACATCCGACTGTGCGAGTAGAGAGGGGATCTACGCCATAGTAAGGGATG